GACCAAAAAAATAGTATAATATATGTACATGGCTAAATTTCTTATATGAATGCAAAGAAAGAGACAAGAAAATAAAAACCCTCCTCCCACCCCTGACTTCACTGCTTAAATGAGTCTTTTTGCTGCTTGATGTATCTGGGATCATACCTGCAAGGACAAATTCCTTCCCATAGAATTGCTGGCTCCAAAACCACATGCATTTTATAAGATGTGAGAAATCGTGCCCAATTGTCTTCCAGTATTTTAAATTAAATTTTGAGTACAGGGCTTTTCCTTTTTTCTTTTCTTTTTTTCCTTTTTGGCAAGTGGACTGATAAAGCTCTTAAGGCTTTTGAAAGTATAAGAAATAGAAAAGAATATCCACGAGGATATTTGTAGTGTCTGCTAGCTGTTCATTTGATAAATACATAAAAATAAATCTTAAGTTATGAGTACCCTTGTGGTAGTGGAGTTTGTACCAATGATTGAAATGGTAGAGAAACCTGGTACTGGTAGATCATGCCAATAACTGTAACTACTCAGGAGATTGAGATCTGAGAATCAAGATTCAAAGCCAGCCAGGGCAAAAAAGTTTGGGAAACTCTTACTTTCAATTAACCAGCACAAAGCCAGTAGTGGAGCTGTGGCTCAAGCACCAACCTTGAGCAAAATTAGTACCCAGGCCCTGATTTCAAATCCTGTTACCAACACACACACACACACAAACACACAAATAGGCCAGACGCTGGTGGCTCATGCCTGTAATCCTAGCTACTCAAAAGGCTGAGATCTATGGTCAGCCTGGGCAGAAAAGCCCATGAGACTCTAATCTCCAATGAACCACCAGAAAATAAGAAGTGGCGCTGCAGTTCAAAGTGGTAGAGCACTGGCCTTGAAGGGTGGAAAAAAGCTCAGGAACAACATACAGGCCCTAAGTTCAAGCTCTACAACTGACCCACCCACCGCTCAAAAAAGGTAGAAAGAAACACAGAAAGCCAAAGATACTGTTAGGCTAAGGGAACAGCAGGACCTGGACGAGGAACAGGCCTAGGTGCACCCCTGGCCTTGGTGCTGAATTGTTCTGCTAAGAGCACTGGTTTCTTGTCACCTAGAGACACTAGTGACAAGACACTCCCAGAACTCCTAGCTTTCTATTTCTATGCTGCTTAAGTTCTCAATGGCTGCCCTCTTGTTATTCAAAGTTCACTCTACCCATTTACCCAGCAGCAGCAGCTAAGTAAATTCTTTTCTGTTGTTGAAGTTTCACATATCTGCATCCAAGGGCACAAATCAGAAGTGTGAGGCCCGTGAATGGTTTGCCCACATGGCCGCCATGTGTGGCTACATTTACCCAAGAAGCCCCTCCCATACCCTCCCCAGCCAGTGCTCCTGGAAAGGTAATCACTGCTAATCTCTCTCGATACAGGTTGGTGTTGCCTGCTCCTGAACTTTGCGTTGTGTTTAACCGGCCTCCATCTACAAAATGCTCATGAACTTGACTTCTGGGCACTGTGGTTTAGAGAGCTGACCACAGCCCAGCCCCGCCCCACTGCTCAGCCAGGGATGTGGCCTCTCTCTCTTTGTCCACCCTCCCTGTAGGGCTTTGGCGATCCAGCCGGGGAGCACTGGCTGGGTAATGAAGCGGTGCACCAGCTGACCAGCAGGGCGGCCTATTCGCTGCGGGTGGAGCTGCAGGACTGGGAAGGCCAGGAGACCTACGCCCAATATGAGCGCTTCCAGCTGGGCAGTGAAGGGCAGATGTACAGGTGGGCTCAGGGCCCGGGGCCTGTGGGCAGGCTGGGGTCCCCGGGGCTAACGACTACAGAGCCTGCACCAAGGGTCAGTCCCTGGGCGTCTCCAGTCCCCACATCTGTCCCCCATTTGGATGCACGTCACGGGATCTGGAGGCGACCGGTTAGCACTCAGCACATCCGGGCCCCTGGGTGGGGTGAGGAGACTGTGGTGGAAGCCTGCCAGCCCTCAGACAGAGAGGGGTCCTCCAAGGTCGGCCTTCCCCAAGTCAGCCATTGGCTGAGACCCAGAAAGGGGAGGTGAAGTGAGGAAGGGGCCTAGGCCCATGCTGTCATAGCCCTGGTTTTCTTGGTGGACTCGGGCAGAGCAAGGCTGAGTCTCTCTGAGCTTTGTCACAGCAGGATGAATGGTACAAGGTCAAATCTTCAGTGTTATTCTTAAAAAATGGTGTGTAGTGGCTGGGGAGGTGGCTTAGTGGTAAAGTGCTTGCCTTTCATGCATGAGGCCCTGGGTTCGATTTCTCAGAAGCACATAAGCAGAAAAAGCCAGAAGTGGAGCAGTGGCTCAAGTAGTAGAGCTCTAAGCCCTGAGTTGAAGAGCTGAGGGACAGCGTCCAGGCCCAGAGTTCAGACCCCATGACTGGGAGCAGGGGAGTGGGGGGGGGGTGCAGAGAGCTGGGCACCAGTGGCTCACACCTATAATCCTAGCTACTCAGGAGGCTGAGATCAGAGGACTGTGGTTCAAAACCAGCCTGGGCAGGAAAGTCCATGAGACTCTTATCTTCAATAAACCACCAGAAAACCAGAAGTGGTGCTGTGGCTCAAGTGGTAGAGTGCTCATCTTGAGCTGAAGAGCTGAGGGACAGCACCCAGGCCCAGAGTTCAAGCCCCATGACCAACAAAAACATACAAACAA